TCTTTTTTTTTATAATCCTCTCCGCACGTACTTTATATAGCCGGAGAGGCCTTTCGGAATGTTTGGTAACGTGAATTGCCGGCTATAATTAAATTTATCATGCAGACGAGAGAATTCCTGCGGGGAGAGTCGTAAATAAAACGGGGGCGCTTCTCTCTCCTCTTGTAAAAGAGCAGCAGGTCTATTAGCAGAAATTCGGAAGACAATGCGCCGCACATGGCCGTGTAATGAGGCAATCGATATTTCGGGCAACAATGCGTGCTCGTAAACATATCTCTTAAAACGGCGGGGGTACATAAAAGAAAGGCGGATATAATACTTACACGCATCTTGTGTGTGTCGCAGTCGATAATAAAAAGCAACGATGCTGCCGTTTTATGAACAACGACGACCAGTTGGTGAAAATTTCATTCCGGGCACGAGTCCATCACTCTCTTGGGCCAAAAAGAAGTTTCCCGTCGACCCGACCGTGAAATTCTCGCTGTATTTTTCTTCTCCTCGGGAAACTTTTTCTTTCGGCAAAAGCGTTTTTAGTTTTTAGCGGTGCTGATTGATTCATTGATGAGACACACACGTTCGTCTTCAAAGAGAGGCGCCGCTTTGGAAATTATAGAGATCATTAGGTGTTTATTCGATAGGAGGATGAAAAGGAAAAGATGTTCTTTTGTTGAAAAGTTGGCTCGCTAACGAAGATTAATTATTTCCAGAATTGATCAATTAAGGTTGTTAAAACGTTGTAATTGGACAGACTGAAGAAGAAAATGAAATTTTCAAATCCCAGCTAAAAATGGTATTAAATTAGATTTTGAATGTAGAACGTTGGAACTCAAGAAAGTGAAGTAAATTTAACGTTGAGAAAAAATTAATTAAGAAACGAAACTGCTCTTCTAGTTTTGATCGCGGTCTACAACCCTATTTCAAGAGCAAGGAATAATAAAAAGAAAAAAAAACGAATATCTTTTTTTCATAAATAGGTGATTTTTCATCAAAATAGAAGAATTCAAAAGCCTCATTTTTAACTAATAAATGGCTCAAATTTTGGGCTTTATTAAATTATTTTACAATATTAAGTTCTTTTCTGACAAATTGGTTGCAAATGTGACCAAGCCAAGGACAATTAATGTTAAGATTACTATTAAAATTCCTAGGTACACTCATTGTTTGCTCAAATTTATACATCAAATTGTTTCTATTAATTGTTTCACTTTGATTTTAATTTAATTGTTATTTTTAATATAAAGATTTTTGACGTGCTTTTAATAATGTTCAAATACAACTAAATGGTTTTTAAATAAATAATTAAAATCACGTACATTTATTATAAACTGCGGATCGATTAGGTGACTGAGGATCTACCAAAAACTTAATAATTTATAATTTAAAAGGAAAAGTTTCAAATTTTACTTTGATAAAAGAAGGAAAATAAACCAAATTCATTTCTTTTCCTCCTATATTGTTTTTTTGCGAAAATATATATATTTTTTTTATTCAATCTGACGACCGACGAAACGGGAAAAAACTATGGCGGTTCACGTCAGTTACATTTTTATAGAGACGAACGCACAATATCGAGTCAAATGTTCCGTGACTGTGCCTGCTGTTTGAAGTTGTTATGTAAGTGCGTTTGCTGCTGGAAAATCACTTCGTCTCGTCTCGGCAAAACATTCCAAAATCGAAACTGTTGCGCAAATAACGCGGCGCTCTTTTCCTGCAAACGATGTGTACAAATGGCAAATCAATGCGCCGAGGAAGCAGCTTTCGATGCACAATCGAAGAGAAAAAGTCAAGTCCTCCTCCGATGTTTACCGCTTCTGTCTCTCTCTCGCGAAACAGAAAAAGAAAGAGAATCCGCCTTGCAAAATACAAAAAAAGGGTGGAATTTGTCTCTCAGACGTGTAGGGAGAGAAAAAAAAGGGAGCACTCGTCGTGAAATATGATACCGTAAACGATTCTTTGTGCGTTCTCGTTTCGGGCGAGAGAGAAATTCCGGCCTATTTCAAGGAATAAAAATAAAATAAAAACACGCCCATAAATATATCTCGCCGAAGATGCTTTATTGGAGAATTGCGCCTTTCTTTCAACTTGCAGAAAATGAAATAATGTTTTTCGATTGACGCGAGTGCTTTTTGCATCTCCGTGGCGACGAACAAACGGGCGCAGCGTCTAGTCGGGCGTGAACGGATAAAAAGCAGTGCTGGCGAAATCCATTTGCGCACCAAAATTCTCTAATGTTTTTTACATGGTTTGTTTACCGGATCGTCTTCAGCAGCGTCAATAACATTATGTGAGACGACAATAGAGGGGAAAAAAGCAAAATTTCATCACAAAAATATTACAGTAATTTGATAGTTGAAAAATATGCACTCAAAAAGAATTCATGAGAATATTTATAAACTTCAAAGTTATGAACTAAATCTGTTTCAATCTGTTTTAAAATTAAAATCAAGTTCCATTTTCAAATTGGGAAATATATAAGTTTTAACCATTTTAATAAGCAAATAAATAATAGAAGACAATTTAAAAAGAAAATTGTTCCTTTTTTCCTTATTTATTCCCAATTTTTTGAAATAAATAATTTCACTTTAAAATCTGTTTTGATAACTATCAACAAAAATTCCTTACTGTTCCTTACTTACAAAATTTTTAAAATTACGAATGATTGTTAAAAAAAAATCTTTTGGCCTTTTCACCTTATAACACATATTTCACCAAAATAAAATCCTATAAACATTTTTCTTCAGTCAACACAAAATTTTAAACCCCCATTTTCATTAAAATCACAAATTTTAAAATGAAATTCACCCTAAAAAATCCAATAAAACTATTTTGATGTAAAAAAATCAACAATTGATTATTTTTTATATCAAAAATCAAAATATAGTTGGCAACTGTTTTTAAGAAAAAAATCTCTTATTGTTCCCAATCGTAGTCTGCAATATTTATTTTAATCATATTCATTAAGAATTTTTCACATAAACATTGAAATTTAAATTGTACATTTTATGTCTAACAAAAAAAGCTCACTGCGGCGGATGGTGTCATTTTGAACTCGGTAGTTTTAGCAAAATTCTTGCTATGGATATTAATAATATTCATTATTCTTGCTAGAGGCGGTGCCATTTTGTCCAACAGTTCCTTTTTTAAACAAATTGTTTTCGACAATTGAATGTAAACAATTTGATGTAACAATTTGGACAAAGACACAACAATAAATAATTTAAAAAAAAATTAAAACTTTCTAAAGAATAAACTGTTTTTATAAGCCACGGGCCACCACTTTAATTCATAAACAACAAATTCACTCACATTTCCAAATAATTATGGATTTGTCATTATTTCCTCGGACACAAGAGAAGTCACTCCTAATTACCAGCGTCCCCAGGGATTAGAGAAAAACGTCCCTTAACAAGCTCTTTTTTTCCTTTTTTTGCCAATAAGCCGACGGACTGGCGGCGTGACAATGGATCGGCGAAGCGAAATGTGTTGCGGGCTGTCTAGCATCAAATGGCGTGGGGGCAATTAGAGCATTAGGTCGTGTCAGTGTTGTCGAAAGCAGTGCAAAGGCCGTGTTCTGGCGCGCGGCCAGATGCACCGCGCGGCTTCCACACACCCTCCGTGCCAATAAAGGACCCGAGTTATTGAAATTATATCTATGTGGAACAGGAATATGTGGTGGTATAAAAAAAGGGGAAAAAAACACTCGGTTATATCAATCTTGCCGGTTTCATTTTTCGGTCGGCGGGAGCGGAAAAAGAATTGATCAAATGACGCGCGCTGTCTGCGGCAGACGACGAAATAATACACAGAGAGGGAGCGAAATAAATGTGTGTGTGCCGGAATTGAATTTATTTATCAGACTGCAAAATTGAAAATTGATATATCGACTGCGAGGAGAGTGATTTGTTCCCGTCCCCGAGTTTTGTTCTCTGTTGCTGAGGGAAAGCAGGAAAACTCATCCGAGATGGATGAACATTGAAAAAGCTTCTTCAATTATACCTAATGGCTCTGTAATTATAATATGAACTTCAATGACATGCTTTTGGCGACGAGCAAGTTGATTAATCAAATTGATTGGTTTGATTTATTAGCCAGATTAAAGCGCACAAATCAATTCGATGAAATAGGAATTTTGCATGATTGTTTTTTCGAGTGAGTTTAAATGCTTCGATGCAAACTTTGCAACATATTCTTGTATTAGGGTGAATTAATTATTTATTATTTGCGGTCAAAAAAGTGGGCGGTACCTTTAAAATAATTTTAATTTTTTTCGATATTTACAGTTGCAGAAGATGATAAATTAAAAAAAAAAAAAAACACTCAAAATTTGTATTGGCACAAATTAAGTTTATTATTTATTGCAGATCTCTGCCTAGAAATATATCATTCAAATACTCAAAGTTATAAATGAAAACTACTAATTTAAAAAAAAAGTTAATAAATATTATGAAAAGCTTTTCAGAAAAAATAAATTTGTTAAATTTACACATTTTAAAACACAAAATTAAGCCTGTAGATTTTGGCATTGATTAAGTGATGTTGATTTTATAAAAGTTTTTGTTTTAATCCTTGAAGAAACCAATTTTGCTCATAACATGGAATAATGAAAAGCTTAAATTAATTGTAACCTTTTTGAAAATTAAAACCGTTTTATATGTACAATTTTGCGATATTTTAGCTCCTTTGTCTGTATTTTTTCTTCCAAAATTCATAAAAGCTATTAAGAAACTTGACGTAGATCGTCAGCAGATATTATGGTTTTTCTCTCCGCGGCTCCGATTGGTCGGTGGCATTTAAACCGAGTTCAACGCAATAAAATCGAAAAACTCGTAAAACGCGCAGCTGATTGAGTGAAAACCGATTTCATAACCCGGCACGTTCATTTATCACACATATGGGCTATGACGTCCGAACGCTGTAAAAACGAACACCTCCATAAAAAGCGGAAGAATCAGTCATGAAAATAATTGGAAAAGTAAAGAAAATTAAAAACCCTTTCTGTTATTATTATAAAAGATTTTATTTGACACTCATTGGAGTAAAGTTCATCTGAGTTAATTTGATTGCTTTGTTCTGTATAATCCATAGATTAAATCGATGAGTTTATCTAATCTGCAGTAATTAGTCTTCGATAGGGATGCCGTTCGCCTCGAGCCAAGAAATGTAGGTGCGGACGTTGGTGAAAACAATCGGCGCGCCAGTTTCGCAGAAATCTTTGGAACCGAAACTGGCGATGCCGGCCAGGGCCAACTGCCCTTGGGTGTTGGACATTAGCAGAGGAGAGCCAGGGTCGCCCTATTTATATTTAAAGTTAATAAATAGAAAAAACAAATTGGTTTCCTTGACAGAAATTGCAAAGTAAAATAAAATTTAATTATTAAATTTGGCTACAATTAAATTCTAAAGTTGAAATTTGCATTTAAATTAAATATCTAGCCAAAAATTAATCTACAATTGGAAAATTAAATAATTTAATTATTATATATGAATTTTCATACATAACAGCTGCTGATGGCTGGAGCGTAGGCGCAGAAATGCCTGTCCGGAGTGTCTAGGGCTGTACCGAGAATTCCTTTGCACTGGTTGTGAAGCAACGAAGCCATGTAGGATTCAGAAAGGAAAGGTTGCATACTCTGCATACCTGTTATTTCCGAGGCTAAAAATAAAATAATATTAATAAGGCCAAAAAAAGTATTGATAATTTTTCTTTTGCAAATTAGGAAATTAATTTGAATATCTCCAAGTAAAACTAATAAAATTGATAAAAAAAATACCATCAGCCTGTCCGTAACCAACAACATAGACACTTCTGTATTCGTCCAGTGGGAAATTGTCGGACTTTTTGGGCAGAACGGCAGGCGTTTTGCTAACAGGTGCGTCCAGCAAAATGAGGGCAAGGTCATGGACTGCATTTTCAAAGGTGCGGGTGAAATCAGGGTGAATGATCGCTCTGGAGCTGGTTGTAGTTTCTAGAGCATCGTTCAGTTCATCATCGTACAAGTAAAGTCTTCCCAAATGCAGTTCAAACGTCGAAGCTCTTTTTTACAAAATAAAATATCAGTGCATATTTTCTAAAATTAATATTAGGGTTAAACAGATGAATAGATGATATCGTTAGTTAAAAAATTTTGAATCGATTTAAAAAAAAAATTGAAAATTTTAAGTATTTTCGTGACCCAAAACAGGTGGGGTGAAAATTGTAATTTGCAGGAAATCATTTCAAATTATCAGAATTACCCTTCCAAAATTTCAGCAGAAAATTTATGGAATTAAAAAAAATTCTGAATTTTCCATCAAAATAGCTACTTAAAGTCACATTTTTAAATTTAGAGCCAAATTTTAGTCAACATGAAGTTCAGTTAACTCATAAATTTTATCATTCATTCAAATTTATATAATTTTATGCCAAACAAAAAACTTATATCATTGTTTAATTAGAATTAAAATTTCATACCCTGTGACACATTGGGCCGAGGTGAGAACCTTGTCCGGTGCAACAAGAATTCCGCTGCAAAGGCCGCCATCGTCAATGCAGATCATCACATGATACGGATGACTTCTTGACGTCGGAACCGAAGGTTGACTTTTGTAAAACGCTGGTTCATTTTGCTCAAGGTTAATTCAATTGATAAATTTAAATTTCATAATTTTTACCTTTTTTGAAAACTGGATTGATCAGGTTTCGGTGGCTGAGGATTGACCACAGAGGCAAAGCCTGGAATTTTTATTTTTTCGGTAACATAAATTTCATTGATATATCAATTTCTCTGGATGAAACTTTCTCACCTGTGTGGAGGCGACCAGAGCCAAGATTGTTAGGATGATCTTCATCTCTCTCAAGTTGATTGATTAATCTCATTAGCGTGAAGTGTTGGTATTTAAAGCTGGCCGTTATCACCAGAGCTAATCTCATTCACGAATTTTCTCAGATTAAGTTTCTCAATCTAGGGAAATTATGACGTTTGTAAACAGTCTGTTTTGCGTTGCTGACGTGAAATGAAATGATATCATGTGCGTAATTTGTGCAGCTTCAGAAAAACAACGCAGATCGATAAAATATTCAAAATTAAGTTAATTTAGAGTAATTGAAAGTGATAAAATTTGAAAAAGAAAATTTGATCTGCATCCCCTTATATTTTGCGAATTTATTTGCCTTTTTTTCAAACTGTACTATTTGCCTTCAGCAGAAATCATCTTTAAAATGTTAATAGTTTATTTAAAAAAATGATGATGAAATTTTGTAAAAGCAAAACGTTTTTTTCTATGTACAATTTCCATCAAAATTAATTGCTGAAAACTTGCAGCTCATTTTGATGAAAATATTTACGAACATTTTTTTTTACAGATCCAATACCAAAAAAATTAGCAACAAAATTTAATAAAATCATTGCTTTTTTTACTTTATTTCATTTTTATCGTAAATACAAGAATTTTGTAGTTTTCCACTGTAACTAAAAATGATATCTTCATACATTTAAACTTTCCTTGGTGATAATAATGAGAGAGCAAGGCCGGTCTGGGAGAAAATTGTGCTTGTGGGTCGGCCGGAGGTGCCGCCGCTTTTCTTCCGATACAAATCTGCGAGTGCCAGCAGCTAAATGCGGCTGAGCAAACAAAGGAGCTTGGTTTGCAATCCAGGCTGCGAGGGTTGATAGGTGCGGCATTATTAGGCCCTTATCTGGAACTCGCAGCCTGTTTACCTCACAATGCCACACGCAAAAGCCGCCGCCGCCGCCTGACGAATTCCGCAGCCCGACTGTCACGCGGGTTGCGCCGCGCAATTTCCTCTCGGATGAGAGCAAATTTACCCAGGCCCTGATTAAAATAACGTAACGAGAGCCGGCAGAGTGCGAGAGTTAGAGAGATCGGGCTTTAATTAAAAATACACTTCGTTACATCCGGCCGTCGATCCCTATCGAAAGTGAGGCTTTTGTGGACACAGAGAGGACCAGTGCATGCACTCGTGGGTATTGGAAATTTGATTACGTCCGTTTGTTTATCTCAAAATTGAATTTAAACTAGATTATTTCGGCGTTCAATTCAAGCTAGATAAGAGTTTAATTAAATTTTAATCTCATATTATGATAATAAGCAAATAATGTTTTACAAAAAAGTCATATTTGGAATTTTTCAGAACTCTTAATTTTATTTTCTACATTTTATTACATTTTCAAACTGAACGATGAATAGAAAAAAAGCAGAAAAAAGATTTGAATATTTTAAAAATAAAAATAATTGACCATAGGACAAACAGTGAAATTGGATTTCAAACAGCTTTAATTACTTTTTTAAAGCTTGCGAAACCGCTTAAAGTTTGAATAAAAGGCAATAAATTTTTCTGCTTTCCACAAAGCAAGAAATTTTATATTTGTAGAAAGAATGATCTGTTCCAGCCAATAAACAATAATTATAACAAAATGCACTCTTGATTGAAGTAAATTATTTCATAGCTCTTTATGAATTTTATTATCTTGATCTCAAATTTCGAGGGGCCTTAATGTGTCCGAAATAATTGTGTCCGAAAGTTTTTTCTGGAATTTGTCCGAAAACTTTCATCCGAAAATTTGATCCGAAGTTAAAAATATAATATGTCCGAAAAACTTTTATCCGAACCATAATTTGTCCGAATATCTTTCCTCCGAATCTTAATTTTTCCGAAAAAACTTTCTCCGAAGTAATACTATAGTTAGTCTCCCTCAAAAGCACCAGAAACATGCGCACTCCTTTCCGCGCACTCCCACCTGCTCCATGGCCAGCCGCTGGTTATGGGTTTGTTTTGTGTTGGTTAAGGTGAGTGAGACTGTAAATACAAAATGTCCAAAAACATTAAAAGGAAGTTCTTCTTCACAATGGATTCCTACTGCATATCAACAGAACAGTGAAAACCCCGAAGGTGACAACAAAGTACCTGCAGTGCTCCAAATATCCTTCATGTACAGCGAGAGGCAAAAAGGTTGATGATGGTGAACCGCAGTGCTATCGATTAGACACAACCACAAGCATAGGACTAATAACAGCTTAGAGTCTTTCCACAAAAATTGGGATTGTGAAGACTGCCCATCCAGGAATTTGGCCATACATTGCGGCACTGAAGGCATTGACAATGAAAGCACTCTCTGATTTGGAATCATTGAACGTTGCCTGCAAGGACAAGAAAACTTAAATACTTTCACCAAGACAGATTCATCAAGGAACAATCAAACAGACTTGCTGACGGGAGCATTAGCATCAGGCTTTTCCTGGAGAGGATTTCATACAGAATGTACGATCCTTTGAGGGTTGCAGAAAGACAGGAATTTATATATCTATTTATTTATATATAACTTAAACATTTTTTTTTAATTTTAACAAAACCCAGTCCAACATCAGAGGCCAAAGCGGCGTCAGGACAACCAGCACGACTCTGACTCGAACTAGAGACCCATGAACCTCGACTAGCTGAATCTGGAACTCTGTGACAAACGTTATTTTTAACGGGCTGTGAATTAAATAAATAAGAATACTATACATTACCATACTACTCAATTTCGGACAGTTTTATTTCGGATGAACCATTTTTCGGAGAAAAAAAATTCGGATGAAGCATTTTCGGAGAAAATTTTGAAAAAATTCGGACAAAAATATTTCGGACACATTATTTTCGGACACTTTATTTTTCCGGATTCGGACACAATTATTTCGGACATATTATGGGCCCCCCAAATTTCCTCGCATATGAAAGGATTTGTTGAATCTGGTCCCTTCGCCTCAACAATAGTCACATTGCTACCGTTTACAACTTTTAAGTATGCCAGAGCAATCTGAGGTCCACCACTGTACGTCACGTAAGGATCGATATTTATTTGCAAATTAGGAAACAAATTTATCGGCTGCAAATCCTTTTGGGTTTCGCAGTCGTAGAATGAGCCGCCGTTGTTCACGTCGTACACAACCGCGTGTTGTGTCGCATTTAGCGAGCCAGGTCCCAGGGTCGTAGTAAATATAAGTCGTGCCGTCTAAATATTAACAATATCAGGTAATTGTTTTTATTTATTTTGAAAAGTTATCACATACTCAAGATTTTTGAGGTAAATTTGTTATATTCCGTGACCTACATTCAAAAATAAATACACAAATTAAAAAATTGGTTACAATAAGGTAAAAAAAGAATTTCCCACGTTTACTGTACAAGACGAATCAGAGTAATTCAAACATCCGTACGACTTTAAAATCAATTGATCACTCTGCATTTAAGTAGAAAATGTGATTAAAAAGAAAAAATTCCACTGCGATTGATCACGTCTGTGGTCTGCTTTTCCAAATCCTTGATGATTTGGTCAAAGACCTCTGGCGCCTTGTCCCTGGCGCACTTTGACAACTGATACGCTTTGTCACACTCATCCAATCCATCTAGATTTTTAGTTTCATTTTGATATAATTTTTCGCTTCAAATATTTTCTACAAGTTTTGTTGTTGCACTCGTCCATGATAGCCATATTTTTGATCAGCTCGTCCATATTTTGCAGAGACATGGCTTCGAGAATCGCAAAAACTTCGCTTTCCACAAACTTACCGCCCACCAGCTTTTTCCACCGACAAAAAATTAAGTGTGTTATTATTGCAAGTCAATGAAGTTACCAGCCCCGCAGCGTCTCCAACACATTGTACGAAACACTAAATAAAAACTTCTTTATTTTTATGGAAATAATAAATAATTGGAGAACCTACTTTCATCCGCAAGTCCAAAGTCGTCGCATTTTGCAGCAAGTCAATTTCAGCTAAATTATTATTACTATTATTTATAACTCGAGAGAAAATTTTTAGATTTACCTGAAGTGACGTTATAAGTAACCGAGCATTCGTCCATGATGGCCTGACTGCGGATTGCCTCGTTTCTGAATCAAATAATCGACTTTTTATTATTAAAACTCATTTTAAGTTGACAAAAACCTCGCAAATGTATCTGAATTTGGTCTCTCCATCATAGTCGGCGAGCAAAACGTCGCTCGTGTTGCGCCAAATGTGGACGGCCACGTAGTTCTCCTTTCCTCCTGCGTTGTCCGGCTGTCCAGGCAGCCACTTGGCCTCGTCTCGGAACAACCTTTTGGCCGTACAGTAACCGAAAACCGACTCGCAACCCTCGTCGCAACCGGAAGTCCAGAAGGTCAAATTTAAGGGCTCTTCATTTAACCAGCGGTACGAATACGAATTAAATTTAATAATTTTATATTTACATTCAAGAGCTTGCCTTTTTTAAATTCGGTCGAGTTACTGATGTTGGCCAAAGCGTCGTACTTGTACTGCCCATTCAAACTCAGCAGAGACATTCCCAGGGCGCAACAGGCCTTGGTCGCTTCAGAATACTGATATTTTTGTTTTTTAATTGGCACTTTCAAAAGGTGAAAGTTAGTTTTAACTGTTCTGGTATCATTTTCAAAACTGAAGAGATAGTTGCGTAGTCTGTAGGAAATCAATCGGCCGTGCGCACTATGGTCTAAAATTGATCAAAAATTTATGGAAGGCATCGTTGTTAACGTCAGGTTATCACTTTTTAGAACCATTGATTTGTCTGTGGCCATTACGGTGAAAAACTGAACCTGTGAATTTTTATATAAACACTGTTTTGATCAAATTCGAAATTAAAGCGCAGACGTCTCTCTGACAAGTGATGTTAGGACAAACGGGACTGGTGCACTTTGGAGACCTCGTCGGTGGACTCTATTTTTCCCAATTATTTCAAAAATTAATGTATCTTCAAAATTCAAAACCTGGCAGGCGAAAATCATTCTGTCCGAACACCGTCTGCCGCTGATCGAAATGGAGCCGTTTGTCTTGGAAATTTTCATCTGGACGCAGTTTTGGTCCTTCTCGAGGCTTTCCAGCGGGAGGACGTCGTGCCAAGGCGCGGAGCCGTTCGCGGAGCACCACCCGAAGGTGCCGCTCGCCAGGTCTTTTGCTCCTCCCGTCCAGTAGTTCAAATTGAATTTCCAGCTCTTGACTTTCAAAAGAAGATTATAGTTTTTTTTTAAAAACTTCAAATTCAAGCAGGAGTTAACCTTGCAGTTTCATGCACTCGAGCTTCTCTTTGCTCTCAAGAGCGAACGGCTGCATGTTTAGGCTGAAGCATTTCGCCGAGTTTTGGTGCCAAGTGCCCTGAAAAACCATTGGTTATGAATTAAAGAGGACAATAGAAATAATTTGTAAAAACCAGTGACTTTCCGAGCAACAGGGTTTGGCCGCATGTATCAAGCCAAAATCCGTGCTGGTCCGGGTCTGTAAAATTATTTTTCTATATTTTCATTGTATTATGAACTAGGCCAACCCGAAAGCAATCCATTGGTAGCAACTAAAGAACTCTGAAACAATGAAAGTTTATTAAAATTATTATAAGCATAGCAGTATTTTGGAAAGGAAACGTGTGAGTCCATACGTTGTTCGTTTTCAATTTACATTTCCCGACCAGAGGCTAAAACAACATTTTTGATAAAGAGAGGAAGTAACAACGGAACGCGAGACGCACGTCCATGGTTGTTGTAGGTGCTGTCGTGGTTGGCGTCACGATGGAGGATTCAGTCATTCTTCTAATTTGGGTGCTTAAAACTGGAAACTCGGCTTTTGGTTCTACATTTTTTAGGTCAAAGGATGAAGATCTTGTCCCGGTTAAAATTCTTGTTGTATTTGATTGGCTGCTTATTGTGGGTGAAGATTTTGTTAGTATTATTTCTGTAGAATCGTCAGTTGGATTTGTAGGGGACATCTTAAATTTAAAAAAAAAAAAAATATGAATACCAAAAATTATTTATAATTTTACTTCCAACGGCGAGCCATCAGATGACCGCTCGTTCAAATTCGGGACGCCATTAGAAATTGGGAATTCACTGAATTCAATTTTAGTTGTGCTTCGATCCGGAAGGGTCCTTGACCTAGATTGTGAATCGCCCAGCTCACTAAGATTTGTTTTCTGGACAAATCAAAGGCACGTTTAAAATGTGAAGAAAAAGATATGAAACACACCAATGTGCTATTTAGTCGTGTTTGTATTTTTGAAGATCTCAGGCCAAAAGTATCAGAACATTTTTTTGCACCACAGCATTTGATGATTTTCCAGCGTTTGCTTGATCCCTTATTTGAATTAGCCAATGCGCCTAATTCAATTATTAACTTCTTTAAATCTCCTCAGCTTGATATCATTACCTCTAAACGTTTTACCTCTAACGCGCTTAATAATTTTTTTAACACTGTCAGTTTTGTGAATACTCGTGGAATTGGACTTACATTAGGATTTCCCTGGTAAGTTAGAGTTGCAGCGAAAACTAAAAACAGATACAGAATTGAGAACCCAAAAAATGCTTCTTTGAGTGGCATTTTAAGCTAAAAATTTGTGATTCTTTTTCATCCTGTGCGCACGAATTGAATACAAAAATTTTGTGTTAATATTTTCAGTCTGTTAGCTCGCACGGAAAACATTTTGGATCAAGCGATGGCGGTTGCGTATCCCGTTTCATCAGTTGTTTCCCGCAGTTCGGCTACACATCCTGTGCAGCGTTTTATCGTGGAAATTTAAATCGTGGCCCAACTCTTAATTTTGTGTGTTCCATGAGTTGATCAAATTTTGATTATTTTCGTCCATCCATTATCATTTGATATTTTTTGTATTCTAGATTAATCTATCAATTTTGAAAAGTAGCAATTGACTATATTTTGTCTTTAGGTCTGAAAATCTTGCAATAGTTACAAGGCTTTTAATTTTATTGTCTATTACTTTGAGTAATAATGCAAAATTTTATTTTATCTTTACTTTATCTAATAAAATAATAAATTAGAAATAGTTATTGGCATTTAAATAAATTGGAATATCCTCATGGATTTTACGATGTTTAAAATAACAGAACGCTTTAAAATTCCAAATTTTAGTGCTTTTTATTATCAATATTATCATTATTTTTGTTTATTTGTTGAAGTTGTTGCAAGAAAATTTAGAAATTGAGGGGGGAATATTTCATCGTTAGACGCTAAAACACAAAACGCTAGCAAAGGTCTTATTAAAACTTCTTTCCGAGGTAAATAACGCATCCGCTTGATCCGCTGCAGTGAACCTTGGTTGACATAGTTTTTGTTATTTTCATTCATCAAAGGTTTTGCCATAGGTGAGACTTGCAGTGGGAGGTAAATATTAATTTAATGTTTTGTCAAGGACTTCTATGGAACTATAAAACAAAACAAGAACTAAATCTCAAAATTGTAATAAACCTTTCTGTAAAAAAATTTAGAGTAGATTTTTGGAAATACAAAACAATTAAACCTATCGATTAACTAAATTTTATTTTATATCAATTGTGTTGGGGTTTTTCAACCATTTTTTGAATACTTTTCATATCTCCGCAAAATTAATTTCCTTAAAATCCACAACAAACTAGGAAATAACGAATGAAAGCAGAAGATAAACGAATAGGGTTAGTGCTGCATTGTAGCGATGATTTTGCATGTCACATCATATCCTCGTACAGAAGCAGAGCTTGTCTGTATGGGTGGCAATTTTAATCCTACATTAAAGCACCGACTCGGTCACAAAATTCAGTCGAACATGTCTTATTCCTCGCAAATGAAATAATTTTGTATATCTGGTCCCTTCGTCTCAATAACCAGATCGCCACCGCTAAAAAATACGTGAGCTATCTGCGGTCCACCACTGTACGTCACGTAAGGATCAATTTTAAACCGCGTCTTGAAATACAAATTTTGCGGCTGCAAATCCTTTTGGGTTTGGCAGTCGTAGTATGAACCACCGTTGTTCACATCATACACAACCACGTCCAACATCGTCCACAAGTACGTTCCGAAAATTTGGCCAGCAACTTATGGAGAAATTTATTTTACTGCCAAAATTGCTGACATTTTAAAAACATACGCGCCACTTTCAAGCAACTCGTGGCATTAATGTAGCTCTCCGCTGGCATCAATCGCATGCCGCGCTCGCAGCAATACTTAAACGCGTCTCTGTATGTGAGATGCTGTCAAAAAATGAATTAATTAATGTCAGATTTCAGCAATAAAAACCAATAAACGCACGTTACTGTTACGAATTAAATAAGTTTTAGATGCGTCGCATTTAGCGAGCATGACAGCACTGGTGTAGTTAATATATTCAGAAGCATCTAAAATTTATACAATATTTATTATATATATATTTTTTTTAAATTTATCACGAACTCAAGTTTATTAAGGTTAAATTGTTCCTTTCCTCGACCTACATTAAAAAATGGATGGAGCTCGAATTAAAAATGGTTAAAAATTTCCTACGTTGATTGTACAGGCCAAAGAATTCAAACATCCGTACGACTTGGAAATCAGTTCATCACTCTACATAGAAGTGAAAAAAGATCAAAATTGAAAAAAATCTATACGTCTGTGGTCTGCTTTTCCAAATCCTTGATGATTTGATCAAAGACCTCTGGCGCTTTGTCCCTGGCGCACTTTGACAACTGATACGCTTTGTCACACTCGTCCAAGCCATCTAGATTTCAGATTTATTTGTTGTAATTTTTCACTTAAAATATTTTGTTTTTTCACAAGTTTTGTTGTTGCACTCGTCCATGATGGCCATATTTTTGATCAGTTCGTCTATATTTTGAAGGGACATGGCCTCGAGCATTGCGAAAACTTCGCTGTCCACAAACTTACCACCCACCAGCTTTCCAACGACAAAATCTTAAGAATGTTAATAACATTGTAAGTCAATGAAGTTACCAGCCCCGCAGCGTCTCCAACACACTGTACGAAACACTAAATAAAAACTTCTTTATTTTCAGGGATATAATAAAAAATCGGAGAACCTACTTTCATCCGCAAGTCCAATGTTGTCGCATTTTGCAGCAAGTCAATTTCGGCTAAATTATTTTTACAAATAAAAATATTTATGAGTGAAAAATGAATTTTTAGATTTACCCAAGGTGACTTTATATATAACCGAGCATTCGTCCATGATGGCCTGCTTGCCGTTCTTTGACTGCGGATTGCGTCGTTTCTGAAATCAAGAAAAGTTGCTTTTGTATATAATTTAAACTCATTACTCAAAGTTGGAAAAACCTCGCAAATGTATCTGAATTTGGTCTCTCCATCATAGTCGGCGAGCAAAACTTCGCTCGTATTGCGCCAAATGTGGACGGCCACGTAGTTCTCCTTTCCTCCTGCGTTGTCCGGCTGTCCAGGCAGCCACTTGGCCTCGTCGCGGAACAACCTTTTGGCCGTACAGAAACCAAAAACCGACTCGCAACCCTCGTCGCAACCGGAAGTCCAGAAGGTCAAATTTAAAGGCTCTTCATTTAACCAGCGGTACGAATACGAATTAAATTGGACAATTGTACATTTACATTCAAGAGCTTGCCTTTTTTAAATTCGGTCGAGTTACTGATGTTGCCCAAAGCTTCGTACTTGTACTGCCCATTCAAACTCAGCAGAGACATTCCCAGAGCGCAACAGGCCTTGGTCGCTTCCAAATACTGTATACACATTTTTGTTTTTCAATTGGCACTTTAAAAAGGTGAAAGTAAGTTTTAACTGTTCTGGTATCATTTTCAAAACTGAAGAGATAGTTGCGTAGTCTGTAGGAAATCAGTCGACCGTGCGCACTATGGTCTAAAATTGATCAAAAATTTATAGAAGGCATTGTTGTTAACGTCAGGTTCTCACTTTTTAGGACCATTGACTTGTCTGTGGCCATTACAGTGAAAAACTGAACCTGTGAATTTTTGTATTAACACTGTTTTGATCAAATTCGAAATTAAAGCGCAGACGTCTCTCTGACAAGTGATGTTAGGACAAACGGGACTGGTGCACTTTGGAGACTTCGTCGGTGGACTCTATTTTCCCCAATTATTTCCAAAATTAATGTATCTTCAAAATTCAAAACCTGGCAGGCGAAAATCATTCTGTCCGAACACCGTCTGCCGCTGATTGAAATGGAGCCGTTTGTCTTGGAAATTTGCATCTGGACGCAGTTTTGGTCCTTCTCGAGGCTTTCCAGCGGGAGGACGTTTTGCCAAGGCGCGGAGCCGTTCGCGGAGCACCACCCGAAGATGCCGCTCGCCAGGTCTTTTGCTCCTCCCGTCCAGTAGTTCAAATTGAATTTCCAGCTCTTGGCTTTCAAAAGCAGATTAAAGTTTCAAAAAAAAAACTTTAAATTCAAGCAGGAGTTAACCTTGCAGTTTCATGCACTCGAGCTTCTCTTTGCTCTCAAGAGCGAGCGGCTGCATGATCAGGCTGAAGCATTTGGCTGAGTTTTGGTGCCAAGTGCCCTGAAAAACCATTGGTTATGAATTAAAGAGGACAATAGAAATAATTTGTAAGACACCAGTGACTTTCCGAGCAACAGGGTTTGGCCGCATGTATCAAGCCAAAATCCGTGCTGGTCCGGGTCTGTTAAAATATTTTATGTATATTTTCATAATGTATTGTTTAGTTGGCCAACCCTCGAGCAATTCATTGGTAGCAACTAAAGATCTCTGAAACAATGAAAGTTGAGTAAAATTATTATAATCATTTGGAAAGGAGTGAGTCCATACGTTGACCAGTGTGTTCGTATTCAATTTACATTTCCCGACCAGATTTGGCTAAAACCACATTTTTAATAAACATAGGAAATAGCAATGGAACGCGAGACGCACGTCCATGGTTGTTGTAGGTACTGTCGTGGTTGGCGTCACGATGGAGGATTCAGTCATTCTTCTAATTTGGGTGCTTGAAACTGGAGACTCAGCTTTTGGTTCTACATTTTGTAGGTCAAAGGATGAATTAGATCTTGTCCCGGTTAAAATTCTTGTTGTATCTGATTGGCTGCTTATTGTCGGCGAAGATTTTGTTAGTATTATTTCTGTAGAATCGTCAGTTGAATTCGCAGGGGACATCTTCAATGTTTAAAAAAAATATGAATGTCAAAAATTATTTACAATTTTACTTCCAACGGCGAGCCATCAGTTGACTGCTCGTTCAAATTCGGGACGCCATTTGAAATTGGGAATTCACTGAATTCAATTTTAGTTGTGCTTTGATCCGGAAGGGTCCTTGACCTAGATTGTGAATCGCCCAGCTCAGTAAGATTTGTTTTCTGGACAATTCAAAGACACGTTTAAAATGTGAAGAAAAATATATAAAACACACCAATGTACTATTTAGTCGTGTTTGTATTTTTGAAGATCTCGGGCCAAAAGTATCAGAACATTTGTTTGCACCACAACATTTGATAATTTTCCAGCGTTTGCTTGAGCCCTTCTTTGAATTAGCAAAAAATGAACCTATAATGAAATTAATGTTTTTTTCTTCAAGTATCCGTAGTTTAATGTTTTTACCTCCAAACTTTTTACTTCGATCATGCTTAATATTCTTTTTAACACAGTCAGTTTCGTGAATACTCGTGGAATTGGACTTACATGAGAATTTCCTTGATAAGTTGGAGTTGCAGCGAAAACTAAAAACAGATACAGAATTGAGAACCCAAAAAATGCTTCTTTGAGTGGCATTTTAAGCTAAAAATTTGTGATTCTTTTTCATCCTGTGCGCACGGATAGAATGTAAAAATTTTGTGTTAATATTTTCAGTCTGTTAGCTCGGACGGAAAACATTTTGGATCAAGCGATGGCGGTTGCATATCCCGTTTCATCAGTTTGTTTCCCGCAGTTCGGCTACACATCCTGTGCAGCGTTTTCACGTGGAAATTTTAATCGAAGCCCAACTCAAAATTCTTGTGTTCCAGTTTATCAATTATTTTTGTCCATAAATTTTAATTGTGTTTTTGTTTCTTCTAGAAAGACCTAGTAAATTGGAAATGAAGCAATTGACTATATTATTTTCTAAATGTCTTGCAGTTTTGGTACAATTAAAAAAAAAATGAAATAAAATCTCAACATTTTTAATTTAATTTACCTATCAATTCATTCAATTTTTATTTTTATACATTGTAAATTAATTTTTTTATGGTGGTTTCCCCTTTTTTTTTAAACTTTTCAGATTCCTTTAAAATCCGCATAACAAATTTGGGAACTAAAGAATTACATGTATGAAAGGATTAAGGAAGACAGCAGTTGTCGGATCTCGTGCTGCGTTTTGAGTGTTGATTTTGCATGTCACACCATCCTATCCTGCAGAGTTCGTCTCTTTGTGGCAATTTAATCCTACGTTAGCGCATTAAATATGTGACGCGGGCACACAATTCATCCGAGCGTGTTTCTCGGCTTTTGTGCAGCGCCGTGATATCGTCGTCGACGCACTATTAAATTATCATTAAGTAATATACACACGCGGCATTGAATGAAACGAGCGTGGCCATTGTCATTTCATACTATCGTGCAGCTGCACCGTTCACTCGCCGCCATTATCGTTCGACCTTATTGCTCGCGAGCAACAAGTCACGCAACTTCATTACAGATAAAGAGCCAAGGACTCGCACATCCCCCCGCGCGCGCTGATGAAAAGAGAATGAGCCGAGCAGCTCGCTTTGTGCAAAAACGTCTCTCGCTGCGCGAACAATATACACTTATTTTTAGCTTAGCAAAAGTTGCCGTCGCTCGTGTGGCTGGAAAGTTTCCAAACGTGCTTTTTAATGAAGCGTTCAAACTTTGGCACGGCCGAGAGAGCTGCGAAATAATTTGCCGACGATTAAATTCACTCGCGCGAAAGCTAATTTTATGTCAAAACATTTTCTTTAAAAAAAATAAAAACAGGAGAAAATGAATGTAATGAATGTCATATAAGAAACGATTTTTTTTAATAGAATTCTGATTTGAAGAATACAAATTATATATTTGTTATAGTCAAATCCTTGAAATTAATAAATAAAGTACTAAACATTTCATTAAAAATCTAAAAAAAAACTTGTAGATCGATTGTTTTATTCATTCAGCTGCAGAATTACTTTGAAAGGAACAAGTTTATGTTTTTTACAAAAGAATAGTTATAAAATTTAAATTTAAAATATTTAATTCAAAAAATCTAAATAATTATTAATATTTTTAGCATTTTTGCATATATTTAATACACTAGAAAATTAGCAGATATTAAAAATAATAAAAATTTAAAGAAATCCCATCACATTTACCAAATTTTAATACGAAATAATTCAATTTTGATAATCGAAATGATGGGAATTACAAATTTTATATGTTGAATTTTCAATTTTACATCTTAATTTTAGCAGTAAAATGACCAAGCCACCTTTTAAATTTAAATGAATAGTTACAAATTTGCAGAACAAAAGCTCTACTAATTTGCGAAATCAAAGTTAATGAGGGAGAGCAATTATAGTCATCGACCTTTGAATCGCTGACTGAGTGAGTGCTGGGCTGCGGCAGGGAATAATTGCATTAGTTTAAAATGTAGGGCGCTTCTCTTTGCCCGCGGAGAGTGCACTCGTCGGCGCCGCGGCAAAGCCATTAAGCATGAATGCCAAACCAAATATTTGGCCGAGCGCAGTTGGGGTGGAAATTAATGCGCTTTGCAGTATGTACGGTGCTGCACCTCCTCAAGTTCGCGATTAAGCTGCAGCTGAAAAGTAATTGCCTTTTCGCTCCATTGTCAGTCAAAATAGCTCTCAAAGCGCTGCTTTCGCCGACTTGGCACTTGACGGTCTCGTGGTTTCGGCGTCGCTCTTTTCTCCCGTCTCGTGACATCTCGCTCAAAACTTGTGTGCGGATTAAAATTGACAGCCGCCGCCATTTCTGCATTAAACTTTCATAACTTGCAAAGAGACGGAGACGCTGACGGAATGGTGAATTAAGTCTTTTCGATTTTATAAGCAGTTTTCAAATTCATTCAAAATGATGGTTTGTTGTTGCCATGAGAGTAAAAATATTTCAGATCAAATATCTTTTTGGACATTTTTCTATTCTTAAAAGCTCCGAGTAATAAAATTGCAATAAAAACCAACAAAATTTTTGTCTTTCTGTAAAAATCCATGAGAGATCAGAAGTAAAAATAATCCCTGAATATTATTTTACCTCTCATCCGCTAAATTTAAAAGAAAATCAAATATGATTAAAATTTGCAAATAAGATTTCCAACTAATTTTGATATGATCCTTATTTATGAAAAGAAAATTAGAATTTCTGCCAGTCTGTGGACGACCCTTTATTTTCTCCTCTTATTCAGTGATTAGCAGAAATTATGCAGTGTGGCTAGAAAACGAGCAAATTAGCTGATTGGTAAGTGGAAAAAACGCTGCGAGTGGAAAAGAACAAAGGCAACAACATCACATTTCGCGTGCAATTTTCTTCAAAACAGAATAATTACATCTTGCTGCGTTGCAAATGCTGACGGCTGTCGGTACGGAAGAAAAGACTCGGAGCGAAATATGGAACAGAAGTTCATTAACGAGAGAAAGAAATCTCGCTGCGAGGCACAGCAGTATCAGGATTCTTCATTAGCGTAATTACATCCGTTCGGCTGAGTGATAAGTCGTCAAATTTAATTAAAAAAAAGACCTGCCTGACGAGTCGCGACTGAGAAATATGATGAGGGCGCATTTTTGATATACTTATAAATTTCTTATAAATTTTAAAAATAAATTGAGGAGAATATCGATTCCTTCTTTTGTAATAAAATTGTTAGGTAATTTGATCCAAAACTTCTAAGCTATGAAAATTCTGTAAATTTTTTTATTTACTTTGGGAAATTTGGTCTCTAATAAATAATTCAATTGAATTTTTACGAATTTCCAGAGCACAATAAAAATCACAATGCTTTTAGAAGTTCTTAATTTGCAATAAATTTAAAACGTTAAGATATACTGAAAAAAATGCAATAGTTTATTAAACAAGAACATCCAAGGGCTCAGACATTTCAGAAATAACATTCAAAATTATCAATTAAGATTCTGATCCACCTGGCGTAAAAGTATTTTTTACACAAATTTACCAACTTTTCAGGTTTCATGAGAAACCCCATTTTTTGCGTCATAAAAAAAGACTGCTAATTGTAAACTTCTAAAACTTTTTTCCTTCTTTCAATTTTAAGAAAGTTTTATATTAAAAAAATTGAGAATCCTTTTCAAGAAATTAATTTTTATTAATAGTTTTATCGTTTTATTGTCGAATTGTAATATTCATATTGTTTTAGGCAAAAAAATTTAAGTGCTCTTTCAGCTTCTCGCATCCTGGCTGTTCTCTAACTAGTTTGATACTGAAACAGAATCAAGAATTCGCAGTTACATTTCAAAGTCCCTTTAATATACTGCACTTGAATAATGGATCGCGGCAAAAGTTAGCTCGGTTTGCTGCGTCGCGAGCACCGAGACAGCCGTTCTCTCATTTTCAGCTTTGTACTCTCGTGCATTATTCCGTAATATTCCGCCGTAAGTCAGACACACATGTGTGTGTTCCGCGCCAGAATTACAGACACAGAATGACAAATCACACGGAATGCATTAGCGCGGCTCCAAGTTGCTCTTTCGCTAATCACGCGTGCCGCTGCCATTTTTTAGGTTCGTCGATAAATCTGCAGCGAATTCGATTACGAGCGCGAATTCAATGTCACGTTGTATCGTAAATTCCGATATCCAGGACTCCTGCCTGGGTGGAGCCGAGTTATGCAAACATTTCATCACCTCTGCTCGGCGTGTTGCATAACACGCGCCGACCCACTCGCCGAGTATTCTCCTCACGTACCGACTTGTATGTGCGTCTGGCGCTGTAGGCTCTTGTCAGAAAAGAAAAACAGCAAGAAGGAGAACAATATATTTAAAAAGAAAAAAAAAATACAAAAATTAGCTTCGTCTGACTTCAAAATTTTTTTCAGAATTAAGAATATGAAATTAAGTCAAAAATTAAAAATCATGAATGAATTTAATACAATTTTTTTTTATTAAATTTTGATCTTTTAACATTCATGTAATAAAAATTAAATATTAATTAATTAAAATTGTAGAAAACTGCTTAAATGTTCGTGAAAAACTCTCATACTTTGACTAAATTTGAAATCATATTTGTTAACAAAATAAAACCTTATTCGAGGGCCAGAAAATTATTTGGAGATTGAAATTTTGTGGCTTTTTTGCTACCAACCTACATTAAAGATAATTTAGACTAGATTTACAAATTTCAAAATAAAAAAGTTCCTTTTCTACGCTTATTTTCAGCAACTTTTGCATCATATTTTTGTATTTTACAACTGAATTTTTTATTAAAAATCCATCTAATTTTATACTCTTTTCGTTTGTTCCAGGTGAGTGCCAAAAAAGCGACGACGATGATGAAAAAACTTTTTCCCACTTCGGTATTCGGTATGTAAATCAGATTTCGGGTGACTGTGAGAATTTTAAAATTAATTCCAACGAGAACAGGTGCAAGACCAGGTTGTTAATAGTATAATCAAAAGCTGCAAAAGAAAAACCTAATAGAGTTGAAAATGATAAATTATTTTGTATTGTAACTTTAATTAAAAATAATAAATAATAATTTAATAATAATTTAATTAATAATAAAAATTGACCCTTTTAAGGAAATTAAAAAATAAACCAAAATAAGCTAAATTGTAAATATAAATGATTACAAATGAT